AACTAGAGAACTAATTGGAAGAAGAAGAAGTTGATAATCTATATTTATCTTGAGTGGTTTGATAGATTATACTTATGAATTCTAGAATTAATATCCAATTATTATTCTTTTCATGAATGTTAATTTTATTTGGATAATAATTTGATAGGTTATACTTTTCTTCGGTGGTTTGATTGTCTATGCTTAATAAATCTAAAGTAAAATATGATGAAAAAAGAATAGTTCATAATTTATAAGTAAAATTAGCTAGTTGATTCAATTCTAAATTCTTCATATATCTAAGTGGATCCTCCATCTTTGCTTTCTTGATTTTCCTTTTTATTATTGATTTTTCTCTTATTTGTTTCTTGGTTTTATTTTTCTTTATTTTCTTCATCTTTATTTCTCCACTCTGAATCCAGTTTTGTTTTTATTTATATATAGTCACATCCACTCTCTTTATCTCTCCACAACTATATTTTTTATCACTCCTAAATTTTCACACAAACAATTTAAAAACCAATTTTGATTAATTCTTACAATACCTTCCTCGTGGGATTTAATAATTTTTTATACTATAACTTGATAGTTGTGCACTTGCAAGTTAGGCTCAATTTATTACCCTATCAAGGTTCACCTTCGTTCCTGATCGCAAGTTGCTCTCCTCTCCAAGGATCAAAAGTCTGCAGGTACTCTCCCCCTTCCCAGATCTCACTAGTACAAAACGGGTCTGTCCAAACGGTTATTGGAACCGTTTGGACAAGTCAAAATAGCCCAAACGGTTAACACCGTTTGGGCTAATATATCCCAAACGGTTACGATTGAAAATTCCCAAACAGAGCTCCCAAACGGGTTAAACAGTTTGAGATATTTTAGTCCAAACGGGTTCAACCGTTTGGGAGCTTTGTTAGGTTTTTAAAAAAATAATTTTGCAACAGACCCGCTTGTTCTCCCAAAATTTTCACGAGTGGCGCCAAAAATTTTCAACCAGCGGCCAGCGACACCAAATTTTCATCCCCAAATTAATATCTCACCACACCCTCTCAAATCCGCCTCTACCTCCCTCATCTACCGCTAGATCTCGATCCTCCGCCGCCTCCATCTATTCCACGGCGTTTGTCTTCCCAAAATTTTCACGAGTGGTGAAAACCTAGCTCTTAGGGTTTCCGAGAAAACCAATCACCGAAACGATCCAATCGAGTTAGGGTTTCGAAGATGGGATCAAGGGATCAGCAGGCGGAGAGCAGCGGAGGATTCTTCTCCGCGATCAAGAGCTGGGGCTTTGCGATGCAGAAATCGGTCAGCGGGTGAGTTCGATTTTGAGTTCTAGGGTTTCGAATTCCGACTATTGATTGAAATAATTAGTACAACGTGAACAAACATAAACATGCTTTCATGAAATCTATACAAACTTGTGGATTATTGCTCGCTACTTTCTCTTATCATCATTGTTATAACTATGTTGCTTGTCTGGATTCATTTTACTCCTCATAATGTAGTTCTTGAATTGTGAAGTCTGTCTTGCATAGTGGGTTCGTTGATTATTGCCTAATAATTAATTAAGCCAGTCATCTTGTCTTTTTTATTTATACTCCTTGATGTTGTTGTTCTCATGTTCTTTTATATTAGCTATGATAAGAAGACAACACTACCATCGATACCTTTCTGAATTGATTTGTATTTCGTTTCCTCATAGTTAATTGGAAATTGGATGAAATTATCCTTCCTTTTTTAAAAACATACTTTGTGGTTATGCTTATCTTCATCAAATTGAATGGTATTTTCTGGTCAGGCGCAACTTAGGCCAGGCAAAAGTAATGTTGGATGCTTTGATTAAGGTTCTTGTGATTACATTTACTTAACCTTGAGATTTATTTATTGCAAACACAATTAAATATTCAATAATCTCAGTATATATATAATGAAAATTTTAATTTCAGAGGGAAGAAAAAAAGCTGGAGGTCATACATAACGAGGTCAACCTTCAACAGATTCAAATTAAGTATAAGGTACTCCCTTTTCTTTATTTTCCCCTCTTTTTTTAGTTGACACTGCTGATGTATATCCAAAATAAGATATCTTTCGGAAAGAACTTCATCATTCTCACTGTACTATCTTATTGCAGTCCTGAACTAGTAAAATTATTTAATGCATTTTTTAAATAACGTCTAAATTTACCTTCTAAATGAATTGTGTGGCCTGTCTGGCTAGGAGTGGTTCTTTAATTGGTGACTTGGCATAGGGAAGTGTGAAACTTTAAATTGGTGTCTTTAAAGATCAAAGGAACTTGTTTTTGAGGGCACAACTTAATGGTCAAATCATTATTCAGTGAGGATTGTTTAGTACCTTTCCTGAGTTCAACCCTGAATCTCCTCTTGCCTTTTACTAGTCTCCCTTCAAAGCATCAAGCTCCTCTCAGCTGTTTAGCTTATCCATTTTGAAGATATTATATCATCTCCTTTATAGGACGTAAATGTGGTATTATAAGGTCATTTAGTTTTCCAAATTCCAAATCACGTTGTCTGCTCATTCTTTACTTCATATCCATGATCTTCATACTCCCCTCATTTCCACTAATGTACCAAAATGATTGCAAACAACCTATAAATATATGTTCTCCTTAAATATTCCCTCAAATCAAATGATCAAAATGATTACAAATAACCTATAAATAAATATTCTCCTTAAATATTCCCTCAATCAAATGATTTACTTACGTAAACACTTCAGCATCTTTTCTCAAAAGCTTGAGGACTTGACCTTTGTCAAGCCTTTTGAGGACTGCCTATAAATATATCTTTTCTCAAATGATTTAACATGGTCATTGTCTCGCCTATTGAGGACTAGCTCAATTGGCAAATTGTTGGGGTGGATCGTGAGAATCTGAGATTCAGGCCTAGGCTATGGCATGTATTCAGAAAAGGACTATTTAGTACATTCCTATTCCTTTAGGAAGCTTGGGAAATTTTTTTACTTTCACCTCCTAATGGTTGGTATTGAGAAGGCAGGTGGGGCTGGTTTGGTTATAATGGAAGGGTTAATAATTTACTATTGTCTAACAAAAGGTATACTGGTTGTTTTCTATCTTTAAATTTTTTTTTTAATCTAAGTTATTTTATTTCAATAGTTCATCCATGAGCAATTACACCTTGTTCTGCCTTTCCCCCCTTGTTATCAAAGTACATCATGCATTTGCAATTTCCTGACATCTCTTATCTATTGCTTTACTTCTTTTGATTCAAATTAACCACATCTTCCATCTGGATCTCCTTTTCTACAAGCTTTTCTTAGAACTATAGAAGGCTCTAAACCTTCTAGGCTAGCTGCATACAACTTCCAGAGGGAAACGGCTAAGATATATATCAACCTACTGCATGCATGCTCTTTTATCCAACATGTAATTGATTCTACTCCATAGAGCTTTGGTCATGCTTCACCATAGGAGAATGTATATAGGTCAAATGAATTTTTTGCTCTACGCTTCATAATATTTTTGCTATAGTTGTTTTTGTTTGCAGCAACCTTTTGTATCCATCGGAATCATCTAGGTTGTGCATTTGGCCATTTTGACAACTACAGAGCTAATTCCTCTAACGCCTATACATAATCTTGATTTCAGCATTAAATCAATGTATTTTGGTGTTGAGTTTTCTAGAGTTTCTGGTGGTGCTTTATACTTTAGCCATGCATCAGTGTTTATGTTACTAATGCTGTCATCGTTTTTCCCTTATGACATGGATAAATTTATTAATAACTCTTGGATTCTAGTGTTGTGTGGAGAATTAGATTTGTATTTTACTTAAGGTTTTGTCTTTTTTTTTCCCGCTGGCCTGCACTAAGAAGTTTTCAACTATTCATTGCTTGATTTTTGACAATTTGACAATAACAGGAATTGTTGTTACACTGGTTGTTGGGTTTTTTGTGGCATTGTTGATATAGTGCATTAGGAATGTTTCGTTTACTAAGCTTTGTTAGTTGTACACAGTTCCCCTATAGTATTGTTGTTTTACACTTGTTGCCCCTGTAGTTTTATTGTTGCAGCAAGTAAAAGAATCAAGTATTTAACCCAGGGGTCTATCTGCAACAATGAAACTACAGGATAGTAAGTGCAAAACAACAATACTACAGGGTAGTCTATATGCAATGAGTGGTGCTAGGGACACACCCTTAAACCACACTCCCAACCACATCCCTCTCTCTCTATAGTGTTTTTTAGATTTTTTTAATGAAACATGTGGGTCCCAAGAAGCACTATAGAGAGAGAGGGATGTGGTTGAGAGTGTGGTTTAAAGGTATGCCTCTAACATTTCTATTTTTACTAATATGTCCTTAAGTATCAGCAATCAGATTGGTACATGATGACCTAATACACATGGCATTCATGTGATACTAAAAATATCATGATGTCATTTTCATTGGTTTGGAATCAATTACATTTCCTTACTAGCATAAATTGCAATTTCTGGTTTTGAATGCCTTCTATATATGGTGTATTGGCTTACACTTAATAATGATTGTGAGACATGCTAGTCTCTTTCATTCCCATGTTTTCGTATTTGTTCTCATACTTTCCATAATTAGAGGAGTACGATTCAATGCTCGGAGTAGTTAGTGAAGTCCCACCAGAGCTCACACTTCCTAATAACATTGAATGTGTATGTATATATTTTGGGTGTATGAGTCATTTTTGATATTAGAGACATATATATAATATTGGATGCTTTTCATTGTGTATGTATATATAATATTGGATATTTAGCATTGTTTGAGACATTTTTGTGTATGTATATATTTTCGATTTCAATGTGATATATTGAGAAATTATTGTGTGAGATGTGCATATTAAATGTAAGTAGGTAGATATTTAAAATAGCTAAAATTAAAAATTCAAGGGGTACTTTGCACTACTGAGATTTGGAGGGTATGTCTAAAAGTACCGATGGCGAAAGGGGTTTATATGCAAATAACCCTACATTCTACGGGTAACTATTTTACTTTCTCAAAACTAACAAATTGAAACAATGGCATTCTCTCCAACAAGCAACCCACTTATAGTATCGGTTTCCTCTTCAATATCCTCTCGAAATAACCCAAAACCCATTTCTCTCAAACTACCCAAAACCAAGCTCATGCCCGTCTCCTCGTCAGAATTCAGCACTCTTCTCCAATCCTGCATCGACTCTCGCTCTCTCACACAAGGAAAAGAGCTTCACTCCCAAATTAAACAAGCTGGGTTTGAAAAAAACAGAGACTTGCTTCCAAAACTCATCAAACTCTACTCTGTTTGTGGCCGAATCGATAATGCTCGAGAACTGTTTGATAGAATTCCAAAGAGGAACTTGGATACGTTCATCTGGACTTCATTGATCAGTGGGTACACTAGAAATGGAAACCCAAGTGGAAGTTTTGACATTTTCTCTAAAATGCTTGAACATGGAGCTGAACCAGATGGTTACACTTTTTCGGTCTTGTTGAGAGCTTCAGCTGAATTGGGTTTTCTCAAATTAACAGGTCAGTTGCATTCGTTATTGGTTAAGTGTGGGATTAGAAATCATTTATCCGTTGATAATCGCTTGTTAATGATTATGGGTCTGTTGGGGTTATTGACAATACAAGGAAAGCGTTCGATAGAATGCCTACTAGAAATGTTGTTTCTTGGTCTTCTATGATTCGGGCGTTTTCCTCATTAGAGAAGTTCTCTTAGTCGTTTGCATTGTTCTACAGAATGCAAGTTGAAGATGGTATTAAATCCAATGAGGTTACTATTTTTTGTTATTGCCTGCTTGTGGCTTCTTTTCTAGTTTCAGGAAAGGCCAAGCTATTCATGGTTATGTCATTCGAAACGGGTTCATTTTGAATTTGATAGTTGGTTCCTCACTAGTGACGATGTACTCTAGATGCGGAGATTACGAAGGCACTTTTAAGATTTTTAATAGCGAGAAAGAATAACTGATGGTGATGAAATAGCAAAGGAATTTGTATCATACTACAAAAATCTAATAGGGAATGCTACTGATACTAAAAATCCTGATATGAATGTGATTAAATCAGGGCCATGCCTAAGTGATACTCAAGCAAAATTCTTGCAGAGACCTGTTTCCAAAGAAGAGATTAAAGAAGTTATTTTTCAATGTCAGATAATAAGGCACCTGGTCCTGATGGGTATGGTGCGTTTTTCTTCAAATCAACTTGGTCGATTGTGGGAGATGAAGTCACACAAGCCTTGGAGGAATTTTTCACATCAAGAAAACTTTTGGGTACAATAAACTCAACCTCAATTACACTTATACCAAAGGTACATTGCCCTAAAACACCTTCAGATTTTAGACCTATATCATGTTGTAACAGTCTATACAAGTTCATTTCAAAAATCCTAGCAAATAGAGTTAAACCTGTTTTGGGTTACTTAGTGAATGAGGCTCAAAGTGCTTTCATTAAGGGTAGGAAAATAACAACTAATACCTTGTTAGCCCACGAGCTTGTTAAAAGCTACAGCAGGAGGAACATTTCTTCCAGAATTATGTTGAACATTGATATTAAGAAGGCTTTTGATACCATAAGTTGGAGTTTTTGCATGAAATGCTCAAGGGGCTTGGTTTTCCAAAAAGGATAACTGATTGGATCATGGTGTGTATATCAACTCCGAAATATTTCATCTCCCTAAATGGTTCACTACATGGTTATTTTAAGGGGGAAAGGGTTTTGAGACAAGGTGATCCTCTCTCCCCATATCTCTTCATTTTGGGTATGGAATATTTGTCAAGAAGCTTAGACCTTTTGAAGCATGATAAGCAATTTAAATATCATTCCAAATGTGGCAAAATGAAGATCACACATTTAATCTTTGCTGATGATTTATTGCTCTTTGTTAAAGGAGACTTATATTCAGTGAAGAAGCTATATCAGTGTGTCACAGATTTTGGAGATATAATTGGGCTTGAAGCAAATAAAGATAAATCTACAATTTTCTTTGGAGGGGTTGATGAATCTGTAAAAGAAACTATCAAAACTCAACTATGTCTTCCTGAAGGTTGTTTCCCTATCAGATACTGGTGGGTTCCTCTTATATGCAAAAGGTTATCTTATGAAGATTGTAATTCACTCATCAGCAAGATATCAAATCAAATACAGACATGGCAAAAACACAGAAACTCACATATGCTGGAAGATTATAGGTTATCAAGAGTGTCATTTTGGGAGTTTAGGTTTATTGGACTTTAAATTATATAATACCAGTCAGGGTTACACAGAAAATGGATGAAATTTGCAGGAATTTTTTGTGGGGAAGAACAGATCAAACACCCAAAATTCCCTTAGTCTCTTGGGATAAAGTTTGTCTGGGTAAAAAACAGGGTGGACTTGGAGTCTTCTATGCTTTAGTCTGGAATCTGGCAGCTGCTTTAAAAAACTTATGGCATATTCATGTAAACAGGGAATTAATGTGGATTAAATGGATTCATGGTACCTATTTGAAGCAAAGGGATGTTTGGCATGTTAAAGCAAGATCAAGGGACTCTTGGATGTGAAAACAATTATTAAAAGCAAGAGACAAAGCTTTGCATTCCTGTGGTGGAGTTGAAAACCTGATTCAGTTGATTGGCTCTGTTGTAGGGGAGCAAAATTTAAGATATCTACCTTGTACCATGCCCTAAATCTAGTTGTCAGTAATGTTCAATGGCACAATACAATATGGGATGAATTGTGCTATCCAAAACACTCTTTAGTCAGTTTGTTGATTGTTAATAACAGACTGAATACTCAAGTAAAACCCCATAATAATTTTGAATATTATGTGATAAATGATAATAAGTATGTTATATGGTGATAAATAACATATTCTAATGTTTGAACATGCTAGGGATTGATGTGAGATCAATCAAATGTATATACGTGAGTATAAATGACGAACATGTACAAAAACATGCACAAATCATGTTTCTGGGCTGTTAGTAGTTGACTACAACTCAAAATAGTCGACTAATCAGTTTAGTAGTCGACTACTCTGGCAAGTAGTCAACTATCGTGGCTGATTCCAGTTTTTCTTTTCAGGTTTCGGGTTGGATTTGATTTATATCCGAACCTAGCTTGATATACATATATAAACACACATTTAAACCCTAATTTCTGATAGAATAACCGTGAGTTTAGCAGCCAACTCCCTCCTCAAACCCTAAATCTTTCTTTGTGAGTTCTTGAGAGATTTTCGAGGTGTTTGTGTGAGGAAGGCAAAGTTTTGGCTTCAGGGATTGAAGGGAGATCTTGCACACACGTGATAGAGGGCTCCAGCAGCATCTAAGGCAAGATCATCTTCCCCCGTTCCTGCACCCATAGTAATTACAAGATTTAAAGTGATTAAATCGACGTTTTCATGCCTTTTATGGTTTACATGTGATAAAAAGTAGACTTCTGATATTTGATATGTGATCCATGTTAGATCTAATGTTTTTCTTACTGTTTATGATTAAAAACATGTTTATGACAGCTAGGGTAATTATTAATTTCTTTTAATCTGTTAATTTAAGTTTATATCATGTGCAAAATCCTAATTTGTGTATAATTGGAGTTTTCTTGTAGATTTATCATATATGCTTAAAACTTAATCTTTTAGATCATAGTGACATGAACGTGTTTATATCAGTTTTCTTATTAAAGTTTTGATTATAATCATGTTCAAGATTAATCATTTGTTTAATTTTATGTCTTATGAGAATTCATGAATAACTAATATGTTAATTTTAATTAGCGAATGTTTGAAGAGTCGAATTATGTAGTTTTATTTATGAAAGTTATATTCAATGGACTAAAACCCTTTTTCCTAAGTTATATGTATTTTAAGAGAGTTTGTTTTTGAGAATGCACTAGTACAAAACGGGTCTGTCCAAACGGTTATTGGAACCATTTGGACAAGTCAAAATAGCCCAAACGGTTAACACCGTTTGGGCTAATATATCCCAAACGGTTAAAACCGTTTGGGCGATTGAAAAGTCCCAAACAGAGCTCCCAAACGGGTTAAACAGTTTGGGATATTTTAGTCCAAACGGATTCAACCGTTTGGGAGCTATGTTAGGGTTTTTAAAAAATAATTTTGCAAAACCCGCTTGTTCTCCCAAAATTTTCACGAGTGGCGCCAAAAATTTTCACCCAGCGGCCAGCGGCACCAAATTTTCATCCCCAAATTAATATCTCACCACACCCTCTCAAATCCGCCTCTACCTCCCTCATCTACCGCTAGATCTCGATCCTCCGCCGCCTCCATCTATTCCACGGCGTTTGTCTTCCCAAAATTTTCACGAGTGGTGAAACCCTAGCTCTTAGGGTTTCCAAGAAACCCAATCACCGAAACGATCCAATCGAGTTAGGGTTTCGAAGATGGGATCAAGGGATCAGCAGGTGAAGAGCAGCGGAGGATTCTTCTTCGCGATCAAGAGCTGGGGCTTTGCGATGCAGAAATCGGTCAGCGGGTGAGTTCGATTTTGAGTTCTAGGGTTTCGAATTCCGACTATTGATTGAAATAATTAGTACAACGTGAACAAACATAAACATGCTTTCATGAAATCTATACAAACTTGTGGATTATTGCTCGCTACTTTCTCTTATCATCATTGTTATAACTATGTTGCTTGTCTGGATTCATTTTACTCCTCATAATGTAGTTCTTGAATTGTGAAGTCTGTCTTGCATAGTGGGTTCGTTGATTATTGCCTAATAATTAATTAAGCCAGTCATCTTGTCTTTTTTATTTATACTCCTTGATGTTGTTGTTCTCATGTTCTTTTATATTAGCTATGATAAGAAGACAACACTACCATCGATACCTTTCTGAATTGATTTGTATTTCGTTTCCTCATAGTTAGATACCTTTCTGAATTGATTTGTATTTCTTTTCCTCATAGTTAATTGGAAATTGGATGAAATTATCCTTCCTTTTTTCTTCATCAAATTAAATGATATTTTCAGGTCAGGCGCAACTTAGGCCAGGCAAAAGTAATGTTGGATGCTTTGATTAAGGTTCTTGTGATTACATTTACTTAACCTTGAGATTTATTTATTGCAAACACAATTAAATATTCAATAATCTCAGTATATATATAATGAAAATTTTAATTTCAGAGGGAAGAAAAAAAGCTGGAGGTCATACATAACGAGGTCAACCTTCAACAGATTCAAATTAAGTATAAGGTACTCCCTTTTCTTTATTTTCCCCTCTTTTTTTAGTTGACACTGCTGATGTATATCCAAAATAAGATATCTTTCGGAAAGAACTTCATCATTCTCACTGTACTATCTTATTGCAGTCCTGAACTAGTAAAATTATTTAATGCATTTTTTAAATAACGTCTAAATTTACCTTCTAAATGAATTGTGTGGCCTGTCTGGCTAGGAGTGGTTCTTTAATTGGTGACTTGGCATAGGGAAGTGTAAAACTTTAAAATGGTGTCTTTAAAGATCAAAGGAACTTGTTTTTGAGGGCACAACTTAATGGTCAAATCATTATTCAGTGAGGATTGTTTAGTACCTTTCCTGAGTTCAACCCTGAATCTCCTCTTGCCTTTTACTAGTCTCCCTTCAAAGCATCAAGCTCCTCTCAGCTGTTTAGCTTATCCATTTTGAAGATATTATATCATCTCCTTTATAGGACGTAAATGTGGTATTATAAGGTCATTTAGTTTTCCAAATTCCAAATCACGTTGTCTGCTCATTCTTTACTTCATATCCATGATCTTCATACTCCCATCATTTCCACTAATGTACCAAAATGATTGCAAATAACCTATAAATAAATGTTCTCCTTAAATATTCCCTCAATCAAATGATCAAAATGATTACAAATAACCTATAAATAAATATTCTCCTTAAATATTCCCTCAATCAAATGATTTACTTACGTAAACACTTCAGCATCTTTTCTCAAAAGCTTGAGGACTTGACCTTTGTCAATCCTTTTGAGGACTGCCTATAAATATATCTTTTCTCAAATGATTTAACATGGTCGTTGTCTCGCCTATTGAGGACTAGCTCAATTGGCAAATTGTTTGGGGTGGATTGTGAGAATCTGAGATTCAGGTCTAGGCTATGGCATGTATTCATAAAAGGATAATTTAGTAAATTCCTATTCCTTTAGGAAGCTTGGGAAATTTTTTTACTTTCACCTCCTAATGGTTGGTATTGAGAAGGCAGGTGGGGCTAGTTTGGTTATAATGGAAGGGTTAATAATTTACTATTGTCTAACAAAAGGTATACTGGTTGTTTTCTATATTTAAATTCTTTTTTTAATCTAAGTTATTTTATTTCAATAGTTCATCCATGAGCAATTACACCTTGTTCTGCCTTTCCCCCCTTGTTATCAAAGTACATCATGCATTTGCAATTTCCTGACATCTCTTATCTATTGCTTTACTTCTTTTGATTCAAATTAACCACATCTTCCATCTGGATCTCCTTTTCTACAAACTTTTCTTAGAACTATAGAAGGCTCTAAACCTTCTAGGCTAGCTTCATACAACTTCCAGAGGGAAACGGCTAAGATATATATCAACCTACTGTATGCATGCTCTTTTATCCAACATGTATTTGATTCTACTCCATAGAGCTTTGGTCATGCTTCACCATAGGAGAATGTATATAGGTCAAATGAATTTTTTGCTCTACGCTTCATAATATTTTTGCTATAGTTGTTTTTATTTGCAGCAACCTTTTGTATCCATCGGAATCATCTAGGTTGTGCATTTGGCCATTTTGACAACTACAGAGCTAATTCCTCTAACGCCTATACATAATCTTGATTTCAGCATTAAATCAATGTATTTTGGTGTTGAGTTTTCTAGAGTTTCTGGTGGTGCTTTATACTTTAGTCATGCATCAGTGTTTATGTTACTAATGCTGTCATCGTTTTTCCCTTATGACATGGATAAATTTATTAATAACTCTTGGATTCTAGTGTTGTGTGGAGAATTAGATTTGTATTTTACTTAAGGTTTTGTCTTTTTTTTTCCCGCTGGCCTGCACTAAGAAGTTTTCAACTATTCATTGCTTGATTTTTGACAATTTGACAATTTGACAATAACAGGAATTGTTGTTACACTGGTTGTTGGGTTTTTTGTGGCATTGTTGATATAGTGCATTAGGAATGTTTCGTTTACTAAGCTTTGTTAGTTGTACACAGTTTCCCTATAGTATTGTTGTTTTGCACTTGTTGCCCATGTAGTTTTATTGTTACAGCAAGTAAAAGAATCAAGTATTTAACCCAGGGGTCTATCTGCAACAATGAAACTACAGGATAGTAAGTGCAAAACAACAATACTACAGGGTAGTCTATATGCAATTAACCAAATGAACTATTATACATCTTATCCTACCCAAGGTTTTAAATATCGGATATCGGGGAAATATCGGATGGCCAAAATTCATATCGGATTGCGGATATCGGGGAAATATCGGGGATATGTGGTAAATATCGGAATGCCATAATGAATGTTTGCATACATAGTATAATGCATTAAAATATAATCTCAATATATGTAATAAA